ATTGTTAGGTCCCTCTTGGGGGGCTTCTGAACGATAGCTTCTGGTTAAGATGACATGGCAAGTCCAGCTGTGAGGCATCCAATCCACTTTACAGGTAGAGCAAGAATAGGTAAAATTAAAATATATATATATTAAAAGAAAAAAACAGGGGCACCTGGGTGGCTCAGTCGGTTAAGCGTCTGTCTTTGGTTAGCTCAGGTCATAATCCCAGAGTCCTGGGACTGAGCCCCACATCACGCTCTCTGCCTGGTGGGGAGCCCACTTCTCCCTCTCTTCCCTAGCTCACACTCTCTCTTGCTGTCTCTGTCTCTCTCTCTCTCTCTCTCAAATAAATAAAATCTTAAAAGAAAAATAAAAAGAGAAAAAACTATGAGGATGTCAATAGATTGAAAAAGTGATATGAACAAATCATAAGAGACTTTTAACTCTAGGGAACAGACTGAGAGTTGCTGGAGGGGAGGGGAGCAGGGGGATGGGGTAACTGGGTGACGGGCACGTGAGGGAATGAGCACGGGGTGTTCTGTGCAACTCCTGAATTGCTGACCTCTACCTCTGAAACTTAAAAACGAAAAATGTGGTGTGAAGTTCTGTTATAAATCAGAAATGAGGAAAAAAAAATCAGAAATGGAGCAGAAGCATAAAGATGTGTGGAGTAAGCAGGAGATCTCACAGCCAGGGACAGAAGAATCTAGAGCAGGTCAGGCATGGCCAGAGGGGCTCCGTGGAGGAGGATGAGCCTGGGATAAGGCTCTGTCTTGATGGGACCTTGGATGGACCCATGGGATCTGCTCCTGATCTGTCGCTGCTGCAGCAGCAGGCTTGGTCTTATAAATTGAGGAGAAACGGGCCTTTGCTTTACCTGGGACCTGAGTGGGGGTAGAGCCGGGTAATCTCAGACAGCTTCCCTCTGGGGCCTAAGCAGAAGTTGCACCAGGAGGAAGCACCCAGCTCCTCTTGCTCCTGTTGGCTCATCTTTCCCTGGAAAGTCTGACTCAGTGGCCCTAGGTGGGGCCTGGAAATGTGCATTTTAATGAGAGCACAGGCTCTCCTGACAATTAACCAAGCTTGGGAAACTCTGTGCTTCAAGACACCAACCTGTTTCACCAACTGGAGGCCTTTACACAAGTCCCCGGTTGTGGGCTGGTCAGCAGAGCCTGGCCCCTGGGGTTCCCTGCGTTCCTCCCACTGCCTTCCCACCCCCTCGTCCAGCCCAGCCTCGTATACCCTTTATTGTTCTCCCTCTGTCCCCATCCCTCCCGGATGGTAGTCCCTTCCCAGGTCCAGCCCATGCACTCGGGGAGACAGACAGGTGAGGAGGTAAATTGCTGTGGTTTGCTCCAGGTATTTGCGAAGGGAGGGCCCGGCTCTCTGTGGGATCTGCAAGACTGTGGAGTGGGAGGTCTGGAGCTGGAGCCTGCAGGACAGCAAGCAGCCTGTCGGGAGGGGAGAGCCGTCTAGGCAGGCCGAGAATCAAGGGCGACCCTACAGCTCAGGGGAAGAAATGCAGGGCTGCATTCCCTTTGCTGTATTGTAGTGTACATACAGCAAGTTGCACAAATATTTCTGGCTACTATTTCTTCCAGACTTTGTCTCTCCCACCCCTGTCATGCCTAGGGCCCCAGCTACCCATCTGTGAGACCACTTGCTTTTGTGTCGCAGATCACGGGGGCTCTGTTATTTTTCCCCTGTTCCCTCTCTTAAGTTTGGACAGTTCATATTGTTGCATTTTCAAGCTTCCTGATCTTTCCTTCTGCCACTTACATTTTCTCTTACAATTTTTCTGGTCTGGGTTTTATTGTGTTCTTGCAGTGCGGTGACGCTTGTTTTGAAAGCCGACTGAAGTACTTGCAGAAGTTTTTCTTTAATCCTGTCCAGGATTTTATCACCTTTTCATGATCCTATGTTCTGTTTCAGATACAGCGTTGTTAAGGTATCCAGGGCAGCTGCGAACTAGAGTTACCTGAGCCTTCATGTCAAGATGTGCCACTTCTAGGGTCTTTCCTGAACGCCTTGGGTATTCCTGGAGGTCCCCTAACGCTGCCTGGTCAGAACCTCCCTCCCTCCCCGTGCCATGTGAACTCTGGGAGTTGTTGTACTTACACCTTCATGGCACTTTGGGGGTTTCTCTTTTGCTCTGGGACTGTCCTCGTGGATTGTCACTTTATGCGTGCAGAGCTGAGCATGTAACTTTGCACCGAAGCTAACATGCACTTTCGCTACCTCAGCTGTCCCAAACTCAGATCTCCGTCCCCAGCGCTCGGCCAGCCTGCCAGGCTCTGCTTGGGCTTCCCTCTCTGGAGCCAGAAAGTGTCTTTGGACAGAAAAATGGGAAGGTCATAGGGCTCCCCGAATTTGTCTGCCTTCTCTGCCTGTTGTCCAGTGCCTAAATTATTTCACGTATCTTTTTCAGCATCTCAATTGTTTCATGTATTTTGTCCAGTTTTATTTTTTTAAGATTTTATTTTTCTATCTATCTATCTATCTATCTATCTATCTATCTATCTATCTGAGGGCTAGAGTGAGAGAAGAGAGCATGAGCAGGGAGGGGTAGAGGCAGAGGGAGAAACAAACTCCCCGCTGGAACCCGATGTGGGGCTTGATCCCAGAACCCCGAGATCATGACATGAGCCAAAGGCAGATGCTTAACCGACTGAGCCACCCAGATGCCCCAATTTTCCAACTGCTTATAATTGTTCATAAGTCCAATGTCAGGTGCTTTGTCTTGGCCAAAATTGTAAGTCAACTCAAGTGTTATGCATATATATATATATATATATATATATATATATATATACACACCTGTGTATCTAGCACCTTAAATAAGACCCTGCAAGAGTCTTTCTTGCTCATTTCCAGTCAGTATCACTCCTCAGAGGTAAATTGCCTGTTTACTTCAATTCGCTGGTTTATCAAACACTTAAGGGAGCCCTTTGTACCGGCCAGCCAGTGGTGTACAAGGAGAACAAGAGAGGCAAGTTCCCGGATTTGTTTTATTTTCCATCAGGCAAACAAATGTGAAATTATGACCATGATAAGTATTTCACTGAGAGGTTAATGGTACTATAAAAACATTTAAAGGGGGGAAATTTTCCTGACCCTGACCCGAGTGCTCCAAGAGAGCTTCCTTAAAGGTGTGACATGATATAGGACCTAAGCAGTAGAAAGGAATTAATTAGGGGGGGAAAGTCTCGTGAAGGCTGGAGAGTGAGTCAGAACAAAGATAGTAAGATGAGGATCATAAAAATGGGCCAAAAGCCTGGGCATAGCAGCCTGAGCAAGGGGCTTTGAGGTCTGTAATGAAGCTAGAGGGGCCAGTGGGGCCTGGGCAGTGCAGGTTGGATGGGAGACCCGTGCTCTCTCTGGGAAATGGGAGGCTACTCAAATAGCTGGAAATAGGTAAGAGATGTGTTGGTGTGGGGAATGAGGAAGAAGGAGACGCAGGGGTGAGTTCTGGGCTCAAATAACTAGGTGAGTACTGTCCACGGATGCAGATGTTGAAAGAAGGTCTCAGCTTTGACTTTTATGGGGAGATGGCGTTTGGGAAAGAGTCTGAGTTCTGTCTGGGTCTTACCGAGCTTCAGATTCATTTGCACAATCAGGAGGAAATATCAAGGCGGTGGTTAGAAATATGGAGTTCAGAGGAGGAAAGGTCTGGCCTGGGGATTAAAAATAATAAGGAATGGGCATCTCCAGTAAGGAAGCCCCAGGCGTGATGAGGTGGGCTGGAGGCAGAGGAGAGACCACGGATCAGGTGCTGAGGCTCAGGGGCACACCAGGACTGGGAGTAGGGGGTTGCACAGAGGTGAAAAGGGAGGAGGAAGAGAGGAAGAGGGGGGAGAGGAGGAAATCAGGAGCTCATGGGGTCACAGGTCCCTATGACTATAGGGAGGGGCTGGAGAAGCAGCCCAGTGTGGTCTCCAGGATCAGCTGCTACTGGGGACACAGCTAAGATGAACTTGGCCATGTTTGCAGGTAAGTCCTGTTCCTGTGGACCCAAAAGCCAAACTGGCTTGGGCCAAGGGTGAGCAGAGGTGAGACCATGAAGGTTGTGAATAAACAGCTTGTGAGAATTTGAGCCGAGATGGGGAAGACAGAGACAGGGAGCAAAGGGGAGGTTTGCATCATGTTGTTGGTAGTGGTTGGTTTCTCCTAGGGGCGAGACTTGACCATGTTTAAAAGCCAAAGGAAAGGATGTAGTTGAGGTAATACAGAAGAGAGGGGTGTGAGGGTCCTGCTATGGACATAAGGGATGCTCTCCGAAATTAAGGGAAGGGTGGAGGGGAGGGGTGGGAAAGGGGAGGAGTGCTGGGAGCATGGGATATGTTCCTTTTCCAAGGGTCGGTCTTTCATGGGACATGAGAGGCAAGGCGGTCTGATGCACACGTGCCAGGGTGAGGAGACCGTCTTCAGAAATAGAAGATTGAGATATTCCCTGTAGCCAATGGGAGAGCGAGGTGTTGGTGCTCTGTGGCCAGGCAGATAAGGATTGGGGACTGGGAAGTCACTTTGGTACACACTGTCTCGCTGAGCCACCTTCCCTCTGGCACTTGGCAAAGACGGGACAGACAGGTGGGTTATTTCAGGTTTGGGGCCTTGCCAGAAGTGTGTGTCACAGGGAGTGTAGGGTTTTGGAATGGAATGAAGCCCTTTGACACTCAAGCTAAATAAGGAGGCAAATGAAGACAGGGTAGCGTAGGTAGGCGGAGGGCCACGTAACCTTTCCAGGAACCTGGAACAGCTGTGTGCTTGAGGATGAAGCTAGAGAGGTAAGTCGGAGCCCAGCAGAGAAAGACCTTGAATGACAGGTGCTTGGCCATTCCTCCCAAGGTCGGTGGGGAACCATTGAGGAAGCTGAGGAGGTGAGTGCCACATGAGCTTTGCATCTAGAAAGCTCCCCCTGTCTTCAGTGTGGATGAGTGACCCCGCTGAGAGCCAAATGGGGGATTGAGCAGAGGAGAGAAGATAAAAGGTAGGATGAAGGCGGTGGCTCCTGGGGGAGAGGGACCCAGACGGGAGCAGGTGCAGGGGGCAGGTGAGAGAGTGTCCCTCTCATCGAGATGGACGGAGCCCAATGGCAGGACTCACATACACCCTGGCCACAGCTGTGTCACAGCAGGGAGAGAGTGGGGAGGGAGAAGGGGCAGCCATGGGATGAGTTGGGATGAGCCATGGGATGAGCCATGGGAGGAGTTGGGGTTGGGGAGAGGCCAGGTGTGGAAAGAAGTTGGACTTTAAGAGCTGAAAGAGTACGCTTTCATCAGAGCTTTTCCTCAAGAGCATAAGGATCTGCCCCTGGAGGCCCATGGCCATAGAGCCCTTTGGGATCACTTCCCTGAGGCCCAGAGAGAAGCAGCGGCTCCTCTAAGGTCACAAGAAGGCCAGGGCCATGAGGGGCCAGGACACTTACTAGCTGACTGCCTGAGGGGCCACTGGTGCAGGCCGGTCTCCCCTGCTCAGTCCAGGACTTGGGGCATGAAGTCAGACACCCTCGGTGTCTTGTCACGGCAAGGCCGTGTCTGCTGATGGGGATGTGGATCCTCTGGGAGGCAGAGCCAGTGTTGACAGGTGCCTAGAGAGGGATCGAGGCCCCTGCTGTGTGGAGGTCCCTCATCGCTGGGCCTGGCGGCGACTCCTTCCCCCTCACACATGGCTAGCTTCCTCTTCCCTCAAGCCCATCCCTTCCCACAGTCAAGAATAGCCGGGGACAAGCCTGCCCCTTCACCCTGCTTCCAAGAGAGGAATGCAAAATCACAACAGCCACAGGGGAGAAGCAGCTTTGACCTCATGCCATCTGCACGCCCGATACTGTGCTGAGTGTTACACAGACTGTCTCTCTGGGCCACCCTTTTCACAGACGGGGGTGGGGGGAATCAGACCATAGCTCACAGGTGGTTGTGCAAGGCTTGCATTCTTTACACAGAACATGGTTGTGTGGGAGACGGGTGGTCTTGCCCTAGGCTCTGGCCCCTGTCCGGCTGTTGGGATCAAGCGCTGGTACTGCTAACTAATGCCAATCCCACCGAGGAAATGTCAAAGACCTGATTGGCTTTATTAAGCAATGCACGACTCGGGGAGCAACCCATCCAGCTCCGACAAGGTGAACAACATGGCAAGTTTTCACAGAAGGAGGGTTTTTGGCAAGGAGGTTGTTGGCCAAAGAAAGAGGTTGTTCCAGACCAGGCATTTTGCCCCAGAGGGAAAGGCCAGGGGTCTTCCCACACAGATGACCTCTTCTCCCTGTGGGGGATGGAGAGCCCAAATGGCAGACTCAGTGAGCTGATGGAAAAAATTCCTGACAGTCTGGTTAAGACCACATCTCTGGGGGGAGGTGGAAACTGCAGTGGGGTTAGGTTTTCAGCCCAGTTGGGATGTCTGTGTAAGTGAGTGTGTGTTGGGACCATGGTTTCCTCTTTCACACAAACCATGCTGACGCAGCAGGTGCCTTGCCCATCAGAGCTGTCCTACAGACCCCACATTCTCACCCCCAGCCTGTCAGAGAGTTCATTGACTAGGAGAAACTAGGGTCTCCATCCCACGTGCCTCCTTTGTTCACTCCCTTCCACCCTGGTGTAAACCCCTTCCACTCAGGCCAGAACACCAAGCGTCTCCTGCCGCTCCTACCCAGCGCATGGTGCCCGGGCCAGGGAGAGCACTGAAGGACACACGTGGCTCCCAGAACGGTCCTTGGGAATTCTGTTCGGACAGAGGCCTCCTCTGCCTCCCCTATGTGGATCCCATGGACAGAATCAAGCCTGTACATCCCCCGCCCCCGTGTCCCCGTTTCTGCAGCCCGCCTCACACTCCCCTGCTACAACACAAAAATCGCCCAAATAGATAAAGGGAAATGGAGACAGATTTGCAGTTTCCCAAAAGAATTACCCATTGGGCAAAAAGATTCTTTGCATAGTTCCTTCTGATTTTAATCACATCTGGTATGATCCAATATTACTCAATTTGCATGAATTCAGTTTTGACCAAGAGGTTGTTGGGAGCATGGCTATGACCTTAGACTGTCCCGACATAGACAAGTGACCTCATCACACTTGATCTTCTGAATGACTAAATAAGGTTCAGGCCAGGCCATCATCCCAGAGCAGAAAAAGAAAACCATAATCCAGAGAAGCTAAAACTCGCCCACCGTGAGCATCAGAGTTGAAAGCAAGCCCAGCCCCGTTCTGTCCCAAAACGACTGGAGTTTCCAACTGCCACCAGGTCACCTGATCCAAAATGCTCCTGGTGCCTGGGTCTAGCTGGATGAGGCGGGTAGGGGGCAGGCAGTCGCTGCCCAAGGTAGACCCACTAGCAACTACCAGGACAGCCGTTGAGGGACACTCGACATGCCAGCCAATGCCCGTGGCTGGGGGTGAGCAGCGACAGCAAGGAAAGGGTTCAACACAAAAGGGACCAAGATTATCTGGAGGGATCTCTGAGGGGCAAGAGGACGCTTCTGGCTGCTAAGACTGGGACATTGCAGGCTGGTTTCACTGTCTTACTTTCCAAACAAGACACCTATGAAGCAGAAACAGCAAAGAGCGTGGGATCTGAGATTCCGGACTTAAGACCTGACTTTGATTCCCAGACGGAACCCACACCAGCTGTGTGGCGGGAGGTAAATTACATAACCTCTCTGAGGCCTGCTTCCTTGTTTATAAACTAAAGGCAGCAATAATACCTGCATCTCGTTTATGAGAGACAATGAGCTTATGTGAGGGTTAACTGCTCTGTTAACCATCCCACGTGTCCCCAATCTTTTTTTTTTTTTAAGATTTTATTTATTTATTCATGAGAGACACAGAGAGAAAAAGGCAGAGACACAGGCAGAGGGAGAAGCAGGCTCCCTGGGGGGAGCCCAATGTGGGACTTGATCCAGGTTCAGGCCCTGAGCTGAAGGCAGACGCTCAACCACTGAGCCACCCGGGTGTCCCTACACGTGTCCCCATTCTATTGAGAACAGGGTGGGGGCATTGCAAGGTGTCTGATTAGAGGGCCAGAGGCTCAGCTTACCTTCCCTCGGTGGTTCTCTCCTCTCTTACAGACTTACTTCATTCCAAGATGGCATGTTCCTTTTATCGACTTTTCCTCATTGTCAGCATCTCCGCTCCAATCTACTGTGTACTCCCTCCCCGGGCCCCCAGCCAAGGCTCCCCCTGCCCGTCCTCCACTAGGAGCACCGCCGCCTCCCAGCTGTCTTCCAGCAACACCAACTTCGCCTTCCGCCTGTACCAGAGGCTGATCTTGAAGACTCCAGACCAGAACGTCTTCTTCTCCCCGTTGAGTGTCTCTGCTTGCCTGGCCATGCTCTCCCTAGGGGCCCGCTCAGCCACCAAGACCCAGATCCTCCAGAGCCTGGGATTCAACCTCACACACCTGCCGGAGTCCTCCATCCACCAGGCCTTCCAGCACCTGCTCCACTCACTTCGAGTCCCCGGCAAAGACCTGGACTTGAGGATGGGGAGTGTCCTCTTTATCAAAAAGGAGCTGTGGCTGCAGACAAATTTCTTGGATGACGTCAAGAGGCTCTATGAGTCAAAAGTCTTTTCTACAGATTTCTCTAGCTCCTCTACTGCCCGGGAGAAGATAAACAGCTATGTGGAGAAGGAGACCAAAGGGAAGGTGGTAAACTTAATCCAAAGCCTTGAACCTCTGACGGTCATGGTCCTAGTGAATCATATTTTCTTTAAAGGTAAGACGCTGAGAAGTTGATTTTGTTTTTTGTTTTTTTAAAAGATTTTATTTATTTATTCATGAGAGACAGAGAGAGAGAGAGAGGCAGAGACACAGGCAGAGGGAGAAGCATGCTCCATGCAGGGAGCCTAATGCAGGACTCGATCCCGGGACCCCAGGATCACGTCCCGGGCCAAAGGCAGGTGCTAAACCGCTGAGCCACTCGGGGATCCCAAGAGGTTGATTTTTATGTTAATGCTGTTTGTTTTTTTTTTACCCTGGTTTAATAAGCAAGCTAAACAAACCCCAGATGGCATAGTAAGGTAATGGGAAGTCTGAACTTGGACTTCCCAGTGGAACGAGCTGGCTGCATGACCGTGAATACCTCCTGCTTCCTCCCTTAGCTTCAGTTCATCGATTACGTTGGGGGTTCATTCAGCTGTCTTTGGTTAGCCTGAGTATGTGTCCATTGGGGTCACTGGGCAGCCCATGGGGAAAATCTTCTGGAAATTAGCATGGGAGTAAGACCTCATCTCTTGCTACTAGCAGCAGCCCTAGTGGCCCCTGAAGGTTTCGAGGAGGGACACAGAGTTCTCTGAAAACCCAGCTCAAGAGGTAAATCCAAAAGCCAGAGCACTTTCATAGGTGTGGAAGTGCAGACATGCCAGTGTAACTGCCATTCACATCCCCTGGACATCTGTCTAGAGCTTTACAGTTTACAGAGACACCGTGCTACTACAGCATGGACATGGGCGTTGAAGTCAGACAGCCCTGGGTCTGAATTCTACTTTGCCCCTTACTTGCTCATGATCCTGGGCAGGTGCTTTACAAGATCTATCATGTATTGAGTGCCTGATGTGTGCGAGTCTCTCTGCTTACTGGACGGATGATGACAGAGCCAACTTCAGCAGAGCCGTCACCAACACCACTGTATCATCCCTTCCCCTTCCCCTCTCTCGCCTTCCCTTCTTTTCTCCCTCCTGCCATTCCTCCTTCCCCCATTTCTCTTTCCCTCTATCCACCTGTTCACCTTCCACCCATTTATCCATTCATTCTGTAAGAAGGGCGGGAAAGGAAAAAGAAGTAATACGCTCTGAGCCTCCTTTAAGTCTCCTGTTCTTTATATAAGTTATTCCATTTTATTTCATCTTATTTTTTAATTGAATTATAATTCACATACCACAAAATCCACCAAGTTAAATTGCACAATTCAGTGGGGTTTGGGTTTTAGTATATCTACAAGGTTGTGCCAATACGGCCACTATGTAACTCCAGGACATATCAGCACCTCAAAAAGAGACCCCTATCTGTGAGCACTCACTCCATTTCTGCGCTTCCCCTAGAAACAAGTAATGGACTTTCCACCTCTATAGATTTGCCTATTCTGGAAATTTTATATAAATAGAATCATATGTGCAGGGTTTTACTTGGGCATAGTTTTTAATTCCTTATACCAAGGAGCATGTTTGCAGGATTGTATGGCAAGAGTATGTTTGGTTTGGGAAGAAACCACTAAACTGTCCTCCGAAGTGGCTCTACTATTTGTGTTCCCACTAGCAGCGTGTGAGTCCTTGTTGCTCCACATCCTCACCAGTATTTGGTGGTGTCATTGTTCCAGATTTGGGCCATTTGAATGGGTGTCTTGTGGTATCTCATTGCTGTTTTAATTTGCATTTCCCTGATGACATGTGATACAGAGCAGCTTTTCATCTTTATCTGTCATCTGCATATCATCTTTGGTGAAATATCTGTCATGGTTTTTGGCCCACTCTTTTAATCCAGTTGTTTGTTTTCTTATTTATGTTTCAAGAGTTCTTTGCATATTTTGGATCACAGTCTTTTATCAGGTGCATCTTTTCAAATATTTTCTCCTAGTCTGCTGTATGGCTTTTCATTCTTGGTCTTTTATGGAGCTGAAGTTTACATTTTAATGAAGTTTGGCTTATCAATGATTTCTTTCAGGCATCATGCCTTTGGTGTTATATCTAAAAATTATTGCCATACCCAAGCTCATCTAGTTTTTCTCTATATTATCTTCTAGGTGTTTTATAGATTTGTGTTTTATATTTAGTCTGTGATCTATTCTGAGTTAATTTTTGTGAAAGATATAAAGTATGTATCTAGATTCTTTTTTTTCTTTTCATATGAATGCCAGTTGTCCCAATACGATTTGTTAAAAGGACTATTTTTCCTCCATCGTGTTGCCTGTACTCCTTTGTCAAAGATCAGTTGACTACATTTATGTGGGTCTATTCATAAGCTCTCTCTTTGTTCCATTGATCTGTCTATTCTTCACCAATACCACACTGGCTTGAGTACCATAGCTTTATAGTAAATCTTGAAGTTGGTTATTGTCATCCCTCCAACTTTGTTCTCCTCCATCAATAATGTGTTGCCTATTCTAGGTCTTTTGCTTTTTGGTATAAACTGTAGTGTTAGTCTGTTAATATCTATAATATAATTTGCTGGGATTTTGATTGGGATTGCATTGAATCTATAGATCAAGTTGGGTAGAACTTACATCTTAACAATATTGAGTCTTTCTATTCCATGAAAATGGAGTATCTTTCCATTCATTTAGTTCTTTGATTTCATTCATCAGAGTTTTATAATTTTCTTCATATAGATCTTATACATATTTTGTTAGGTTTATACCTAGGTATTTTGTTGGATGCAAGTGTAAATGGTATTGTGTTTTTAGCTTCAAATTCTACTTGTTCACTGATGGCATATGGAAAAGTAATCGACTTTTGCATATTAACCTTGCTATAATCATTTATTAGTTCAAGGAGTTCTTTTGTTGATTCTTGGATTTTCTACAAGGACAATCATGTCATCCATGAACAAAAACAGTTTTATTTCTTCCTACAATGTATATTTTTTATTCTTTTTCTTGTCTTATTACATTAGCTATAGCTTCCCGTAAAATACTGAAATGAAGTGGTGAAAGGGGACATCCTTTTATTATAGATGATCTTAGTGGGAAAGCTTTGAGTTTCTCGTCATTAAGTATGATATTAGCTATTGGCTTTTTGCAGCTATTTTTAATCAAACTGAGGAAGTTCCCCTTTATTCCTAGTTTGCTGAGAACTTTTATTATGAAAGGGTGTTGGATTTTGTCAAATGCTTTATTTATTTTTTTTGTCAAATGCTTTAGCTTCATCTATTGATATGATTAATTTCTCTTCCTTAGCTTCTTGATGATGAGTTACATTAATTTATTTTCAAATGTTGAACCAACCTTAAGAACCTGGGATAAACCCCATTTGGTTGTGGTGCATACTTATTTTTATACATTATCAAATTTGATTGCTAATATTTCATGGAGCATTTTGCATCTATGTTCATGACACATATTGATCTATAGTTTTCCTTTATTGCAATGTCTTTGTCTGATTTTGGTATTAAAGTAACACTGGCGGGACGTCTCCGTGGCTCAGCAGTTTAGCGCCTGCCTTCGGCCCAGGGCGTAATCCTGGAGTCCGGGGATCAAGTCCCGCATCAGGCTCCCTGCATGGAGCCTGCTTCTCCCTCAGCCTGTGTCTCTGCCTCTCTCTCTCTCTCTCTCTCTCTCTCTCTCTCTGTGTGTGTGTGTCTTGTGAATAAATAAATAAAATCTTTTTTTAAAAAAAGGTAATGCTGGCTTTATAGAACAAGTTAGAAGTATTTTCTCTACTTCTATCCTCTGAAAGACATGGTAAAGAATTGGCATAATTTCTTTCTTAAATGTTTGGTACAATTCACTAGTGAATCTATCTGGACCTGGTGTTTTGGAAGGTTATTAGTGATTGTCAATTTCTTTCATAGATATAGGCATATTCATAATGTTTATTTCTTCCTTTGTAAGCATTGGAAAATTGGAATATTTCATCTAGGTTATCAAATTTGTGGGCATAGAGTTGTTTATAGTACTCCTTTATTTTCCTTTTCATGTCCATAAGATCTATGGCACTGTTCCTCCTTTTTTTTTAAGATTTTATCTATTTATTCAGGAGAGACACGGAGAGAGAGGGAGACAGAGAAACAGGTAGAGGGAGGAGAAGCAGGCTTCCTGCAGGGAACCCAACTCAGGACTCAATCTCAGGACCCTGGGATCACACCCTGAGCAGAAGACAGATGCTCAACCACTGAGCCACCCAGGCATCCCTGTTCCTTCTTTTATTTTTGATATTAGTAGATTGTTTTTTTTTTCTTGGGTATGGTCCATACTTTCTATGTCTCATATTTTTTTGTAAAAGCTGGATTTTTAAAATTATGTAGTGTGACAACTCTGAAAATCAGATTCTTCTCTTCCAAAGATTTTTTGTTTTCACTTGTTACAATAGTTGTTGTTTGTTTAGTGATTTTTCTGAATTATTATTATTTTTTAAAGTCTAGAGTTCGTCATGTGTGGTCACCGAAGTGTCTTCTTGTTTAGTTAAATGGTTAGCTATGATTGGGCAAACATTTCTTAAGTGCCTAGAACAAATAAATCTAGTCTTTGCTGAAGACTTTTGTGTGCACAGTACAGTATGCCATCAACACTCAGCCAGGAAGTTTATAACTCCAACTCAGTCTTCACTTTCTGTTTATGCAGACCCTCAAGGTCAGCCGTAAGTATGCACTTAAAGCCTTCTCATTTTTTTTAAATATACATTCAGCTTTATACATGCATGTAGCTTCTAAATGCCCAGGATATATTGAAACTTTCCAAATATGTCTCCTATGAACATCTTATTCCTTAGCTTTACCTTTCAGAATTTTTGATCACTTTATTGTTTGTCTCATCTATTATCCTCATTCAGACAATCATGATACTAAAACATTTGCCTGTACTTCTTTCTTTCTTTGCCTTTTTTTTTTTTTTTGGCCTATACTTCTTTCTAACAAAAAGTTCCAACTCCCTGGGAAGAAGGCCTCAGGCACTGAGTGAGCACCAATCAACCTTGTAAGTGGGGTCTTCCAGGTAACTACCAGATAGGTCAAGTAATAATAATTGTTTGAAAATGAGTCTTCGAAAGACTTCTAGATCAGTTCTTCCAGTGGTATTGGGAATACAGGCTGGTGTTTTTCAGGGCTACTGCAGAGCTAGAGAGCAGGGGATGGGACTGCCACAAATTAAAATGACCATAAAATTGACTGTTCTTATTGAGGTTTGGCCATTTTTCTTGAATTTACTCTCCCCAGGTTGCTGGAAGCCTTTAGTTAATTTCACTTTGTGATTAGTCTGTTGTTTGCCCTGTTACCTCCTGCCTCCAGCAGCTGCAAAATTTATCACAGTTTGTGACTGCTTTTGACTAATTTCCTCTGAGAAATAGCCTTTTTTACTGGTTGAGCTCCAAATCAGATCAAATACAGACAGTTTAGCAAGTGATGCCTTCCAGGGAAGCACAAGACAGGTCAAATAACAGTTTTTTGGGAATGAGTCTTTGAAAGGGTTCCAGCCCTATTTTTCCCCCCTCAGTGGCTGTTAGCCTGCTGGATTTCACTGCAAACACAGGCTATTATTTTTCCAGGCTATTATTGAAGAGTTGGGACAAGAGGAATGCAAGTAGGGCAAGTTAAAATACCACAAAGCTCACTTTCTTACCAAGATTTAGCTGCTTCACTTTAATGAACTGTTCCCTAATTGGCTGAAAGAGTTTGGTTAATTTCTAGAGTTCTAAGAAAGTTAATTCTGACCACTGTGGGCAGTTTTCTCATTGCTTTCATGGAGGAGCGAGTTTTCAGAGATCCCTCATTCTTCATGTTTGCTGTCTTCACCTCACTAAGTTAGACATAAAGACCTCTCTTCTCTCTCTGTTAGGCAAGTGGGAGAAGCCCTTTAACCCTGGATATACGAGTAAGAGCTCCCCATTCCTGGTGGGTAGGAGGACCACAGTGAAGGTCCCAATGATGCACCAGGTGGAAGAGTTTGCTTTTGGAGTGGATGCAGAGCTGAAATGCTCTGTGCTACGGATGGACTATGACGAAGACACTGCAGCCTTCTTTGTCCTCCCTGGCCAGGGCAAGATGAGGCAACTGGAGCAGGCCTTGTCATCTAGGACGCTGAGGAAATGGAATCACTTACTCCAGAAGAGGTGGGAAGCCGTGTCAGTCTCCTGAGACCTGAGGCGGGTGGTGGTGTACCTCTAAGGACAGGGGAAAGACCATGATAGCAGCTGTTGAATGCCAACTGGGTGCCAGCTACTTGCTGGATAATGAACTTGGGGCTGTGTTCTCACTTGAACTTCATGACCACCTGACAGATGAAGAGCACTATCACCCCCCATCCACAGATCAGGAAGTAGAGGCTCTAGTAAGGGAGGCAAATTGCCCAAGGGCGTGTAGCTAATATGTCCCCTCAACACTTTTATGTCATCGCAGCAATTCCACGCTAACAGCACTCACTCTGTCAGTCAGTCTAATGTTAAATTCCATGGAATGATTCTATAAAAATAAACAGGCAAGAGAAGCATTGACAATGAGGATAATAATATCACTCAACCCATAAGTTGTTGCAAAGATAAAAACAAGTTACTCTTTATAAAGTGCTTAGAACAGTGCCAGGAAGATTGTGCATATTTGATAATGTTACCTAATAGTAAGATCACTATTAGTTCCGTGACTATCAAAAGGTTGTTAACCATAATATAAAAAGGGATGTCAAAATCTTAGGTACAATCTCTTAGGAATATTTTCTTGGCATTTTCAGCCATTGTCAGCCACCATTCCCAGGTGCCCACAGCCCAGGAGGAGACAAAGACAGGATCAGGGATAACTGTAATTCAAGAAGAATTACAGTTTCCCAGGGCGGCGGGCGGGGGGGGGGCAGGGAGTGCACTGAGGAGCTTCTGAGCAAAGAGAACTGGGACCCACTGAAGGCTTCAAGGAGGTGGTGCATCTGAGTCAGGAGCATAGATAGGATGTGGAGGTCTGAGTAAGGGCATAGAGGGCTCGGGAAGGGCACTTTTGGTAAAGGAGTCAACACCGGCAAAGAAGCACAGTTGGGAATCAAGGAACACTTGTAGGATTCCTTGATCTTACAGAAGTTTCTTCTCTGATAGCAGCCACGGCTGGACAGAGGAGTCAGCACCGAGGCTGGGGTAAGGGGCAGTCTGTGAAGATTGGCAGACAGAGCAGGGAGGGGTTGGCAGGCCAGCTCAGGGAGCAGTTGCAGGGAAGAGAGAGCTGTCCATTGTGCTAGATGCCCCTCGATGAGAACGCAAGTGTCCACCCAGCACTTCTGTGCTTTCCTTTCTGTGACTTACCAGGTACATGACCTCGGTCTAAGCACTAAAACTATATCTTAACATCTTTAGAATGGAAATGAAGCTCATGAATGTGCCTGGGATGATACCTGGGGCATACTAAATGCTCAATAAATGTGGGCTGTTCACTCTTGGTTCAGGGAAACCATTGCAAAGGAAGGAAAATTTTTGCCGAACGCCATGGCTGTGCTGATTAATTTCTAGCCTCATGTAGTTATTTAAATTTACATTAATTAAAATTGGATAAAACTATGATTATTTTTCCTCATGTAAAGCCACATGTACAACTAGAGGCTAATCTACTGGACAGCACGAGAATATTTTCAGCCTTGCAGAAAGTTCTATTGGACTCTGCTGCTCTCAGGGCTCAGCAAGGTTTGTCTCAGGAAGGGCTGGCAGGGGTTGGGGGCATCCCAGGCCAGGGATGGCAGACAGGCTTCCATCATCACTGCCTGGTGTTCCCCACGGGTTGCTGCCACAGGCTCCCTTGCTGGCCCCTCATCTGTGCTCTATTACCTTATTAGGGGGTCCCCTTCCTTCTCATTCATCTACAGTGCCAGACTTGCTCATCCAGGGGGCTTACCTCCAGAGCAACCTGGGTTGGTTGTTGGGGATGTGTGGACTACTTTAGCAGCAACCAGAATTAGCTAGAGGAAGAAGAAAGCCTCCTGAAATGCCACCTAGAAGCAGAGATAGAGACCAAGGGGCCTCTGACATCACCTTTTCCTTTTCCTTTTTCCCCATCCCCATAGGTGGATAGAGGTGTTCATTCCAAAATTTTCCCTTTCTGCCTCCTATGACCTGGAAACCATCCTCCCGAAGATGGGCATCCGGGATGCCTTTGATAAAAATGCTGATTTTTCTGGAATCACAAAGAGAGACTTCCTGCAGCTTTCCAAAGTGAGTTGGTCTATGAGAACATTTGCCAGAGCTGGAAGGGCCTCCAGTGACTGGCTAATCAAACCCTTGCCTCTCATTGATAAGGAAACACAGACCCCAAGAGGAAAAGTGACTTCTCTGTGGCAAACGTAGGGCTGAATTTCATGGCTGCCAGGCCTGTGGCTTTATGGCCACCATTCCCCTGATACACAGGCAACTTTTACCCCATTTTTATCCCTCAAACACATATTCCTAAGATCCAACTATGGCCTCCCAGGCCTCTCCTGGGAAGGTAGCACTTCTACTTCAACAACTGTTACAGACAAGCAGAAACACACCTGGCATTTGACCTCACCTCCCTGAAGCCTAGGTCCTCACACTGAAGTCAAACTGGCTGCCCATGGGCCATTTGTACCCTATAGATGTGCTGTGCTTGGCCTGCGGTGCTAAAAAGAAAAAGAGCCAATTCCTAACATGTAGGACATTGCACTTTAAAGTATAGATTTCTGATTGTCTTGAAAGAAATCCAGAGTCCAATTCCCACATGGCAACAGTGAGCCCAAACCCTACGTAACATCCATTAGCCAGAGCTGAGCCATGAGTCCCCATTAGTGAGAGTGGGCCCTCCAGGTGTCCTGTGTGCCCCCAGCTCTTACAAGCGGTCTGGTCCTTGTCTACCTATGGGTTTCTGATCCCTGACTGAAAAATGTGTTTTTTAAAGATTTAATTTATTTATTTGACAGAGAGAGAGAGCACAAGCAGGGGGAACAGGAGAGGGAGAGGGAGAAACAGACTCCCCACTGGGCAGGGAGCCTGACATGGGGCTCCATCCCAAGACCCCGGGATCATGACCTGAGCAGAAGGCAGACACTTAACCGACTGAGCCACCCAGGCGCTCCTAAAAATATATTTTGATAATAGATTAGGATGGTCAGAAGTGATCCTGGGTCCCTGAAGGGACTTTTGTTATTGGTGTCTGGGGAAAGAATACAGAGGTCCCAATGGAGTCTGCTGAGTGTAATGGTCCATTTCCGGTTACGTGCTTATGTGTACATGTGAACAATAACTATTGGGAGTTCTCAGGCCCCCTGGTTAAGTCTCTTCCCTAGAAGACCAGAAGGGATCCAGTATTTCATAACACCGCACTTTGTGTGATCTCGTTTAATTCACCCAATGACCTGCGGGCTATACCCCGTTACCATGGCCCTTTCAGAGATTTGGAGTGCAGCCAGCAGCACCCAGAATTTCTGCCACAGTAAAGGGCCAGGACCAGGACTCAACAACCCCAGGCTTTCCGATGTGCATTTATAACCACTCAGCCCCACACTTAGGGGCCCAGTTGACCTGTGCACCTAATGCCCGGCATCTGGTGCAGTGAGCTTGAGGCCCCCAGAGGGGGGCATCTCTGTTCCTAGGCAGAACCTCAAAGCTCAGTGAAGCAGAGGCACCTCCACGGGGACCGCTGACATCTGTTGTTCCCTCGGCAGGCCACCCACAAGGCTGTGCTGGATGTCAGCGAGGAGGGCACTGAAGCCGCAGCGGCCACCGCCACCAAGCTCATCGTGCGGTCAAAGGATGGCCCCTCCCACACCGTCGTCCGCTTCAATAGGTCCTTCCTTCTGCTGCTGATCAACAGGGCCACAGACACCATTCTCTTCCTAGGGAAAGTGGAAAATCCCACCAAATTCTAGGTGGAAAGCTCCAGCTAACTCAGTACATGTTGTAAACCCCAAGGAAATAAATCACATTGTGACGATTCTGGTGTGACCTGCGGATGTGTCTCCTCCTGCTCTGAGGAGATGCATCTGCTGCCGGGATGCCACTTTGAGGGGCCAGTAAAAGTCAGCAGGGATCCAGGTCACAATCCAAAGCCCCATCACCCTCCATCAGTGCTCTTTTCCACAAATCCTCCCAGGTAACTAGCTTCATGAAGGTTTCTGGTTGACACATTCCCATTCCTCGGAGCCCTTGGGAAGGGTAATCTGCAGGTCAGTCACCTTTATTGCAGAATTACAGTAAAAAAATCAACAGGCCCTAAATGAGTATCCAGCCAAGAACAATGCTCCTGTGCCTTCAGAGTCCGAATCTGATCATGGTTGTGGGCTAACTCCTAGTGGCCAGGTTGTCATGATGCGACATTTCAGGGGCTGAGTGATTTCATTCATCCATTCCAACAAAAACTCACTCAACACCTAGCAGGTGCTGGGAGGGAGTCAGACAGACCAGGTCCCTGGCCCCACTGGGCCTAGACGGGGGTGACGGCACCACCACAACCACAAAATCAGACCTATAAATAGATCAACGAGGAAGGCTGTGAAGGCATAGAACAGGACGATTGCAGGAGAGGGTGGGACAGAGGATGGGCTTTTGTGAGCATAAAGCCTGAGTTAGGGATGAACAGGCATGTTGAGACAAGGAGACCCTGAGCCCGGCATGGTGGAACCGAAGTCAGTGAAGTACAAGGAGCTCAGCATTGTTGGCCGAGGAGGGCGGCCCGCGTTTGGTGGGGGACTGCACTAAACCAGGTGAGTTCCAGACAGGTAGAGAAAGGGCGGGAGGCTGGGCTGGATGTCCTCTCTGAGTGGGCGCCTTGGTTTTCCAGCTGGGCTCTGTCAAGGCTGGCTGCCCTCCTGACTCTGATGCTGTCATATACGCACACGCAGGCCTCAGGGTGCTCAGCCTCCTCCCTACTGGCTCCTGGTGGCAGCAGCCTGGCTCCCTCACCCCGAATCCCAAGAGCCACCACAAGGTACAGTGAGCCACACCCGTACCAGGCAGACACCCCCACACACACACCCCGTTCCTTCGTGCTTTGGGCCATACAGGCTGTTCTGGCTCTTTCTACTCCACCTTTCATTACCAAGGGCCTCCTTCTGCAGCCCCTGCTGGAGCCGCTGCACCCATTAGATCCAGAGACTCCTTTCCTGGGTGCACGGGTGCCCCACATCTCCTCAATGTGCCAGGGCCCTCACGCTGGCTTTTCTGTGCCCTTTGACACAGGAGGAGATGAAGCAAAGGGGGTTTACGCCTCCACCATCCTCCCACCTTCTTTTACAACCTGGGGAACAGAGGGCAGAGGCAACCAACCCAGGCCCCAGGGGCCCCCTGGGCTGAACCAGACCCAGGACCAAAGCCCAGCTACTGGGGACTCCCACGCTGACTTTCACTAGGCCACCGGTGCCAAGCTTCGCCACAGGCACGATGCCATCAAAACACCGTGTGGACCCCGTGACGCTCTCCTCAGAGTGGGTGGCACCACGCTCCATACGCACAAAGGGTGGGTGCCCCACTCCCTCACGCAGGCCGCTTCCACGGTGCACGACTACTACTTCTGTGGCCATCGGGGGCCCCCACTAGTCAGGGGGCACTGAGGGCTGCCAGCCTCCCCCTCCCATGGCCTCGCCCCCGGGGGCCCCACTACAGCCAAGGCCTGGCTCCGCAGCATTCCAGCACCCGCTCAGACTTGTATGAGCAAGCAGATGCCAAGAATGATCATAAAACATATTTTGCCAGCTTGGTGAGCTCTCAGCTCCCTGGGTTTGGGGTTTTTTTTTTGTTTTGTTTTTTTTTCAGCTGCCTGTCCCTTGCCTTTGTTTTGAAACAAGTGCAGGAACTGTTTTGATCAGATGTGGAGACTGAATCAGATGGAGACACAGAGACAATTGCCTCTAAAAGAACGAAGAACAAGTGCCTTCATTTTTTTAAAAAAAGGTTTTATTTATTTATTCATGAGAGGCCCAGAGAGAGAGACAGAGACACGGGCAGAGGGAGAAGTAGGCTCCATGCAGGGACTCCAGGATCATGTCCTGGGCCGAAGGCAGGTGCTAAACTGCTGTGCCACCCAGGGATCCCCGAACAAGTGCCTTTAAAAGAATTGGTGTTCCTTCCAATTCCCAAGCAGAGAAGGCATGTCTGCCACACAGAGCCACGTGGGGCAGCGCGGGATGGGGGGGGGGCAGGAGGAGCAAGGGGAAAGCACAGACCTTTCTTACTGTTGCAGGGGGAAGCAGGCAGGTGGAAACAGCAGCCCTGTGGGCAGAAGGCAGGACACAGATGTTGAGGCAGCGGTTGGAAGGTTGTATTAGTTTTGCATGTGGGTGGATCAGATCATGAACATCAGAATAGTCAGGAACGATTTTTTTTTTCAGAATTGCATAAAGATTTCCCCTCAGGCAGAAGAGACCATGTTCTACAGGCAGACTCAGAGAGCTTTCTCATAAGGGCCAGGTGACAGAACCCCCTAAAAGCATTTCAAGAAACGAACAAAAAAGAGGCTCAGAATCCTGAGTCCAGGGACTGTTCACACAAGGACGGAGGTACCCACAGAATGTTTCTAGCCAACCCATACTCCCTACACAGCAGTCATTGCATTGTTGGAAAATCACTTTTTAAAGAATCACCTGTTAGACTTATTAGTGTTGATTCTTAATCTAGGGTTCTAGATCAACCTAGTGTTGATTCTTGGTAGCCAGAGCTTGTAGTGACCCCCTCCAGAGTGTGGGTTTCTGATTAGAGTCTTTTGAATACTAAGTACCTGCCCCCACCCCACTCCCCAAGTATATTGCTCATCCATCAGGTTGCTAACTCACTGCCCCTAGACGTAAATAGAAGTAATCACCACTTCCTTCATGTCTGTGCTGGAGCATTTTATTTCATTAAGATTTTATTTATTTACTTGAGAGAGAGAGAGAGAGAGGACAAGTGGTGGGGAGCGGCAGAGAGAAGAAGAAGCCGGCTCCCCTCTGAACAGGAAGCCCAATGTGGGGCTCGATCCCAAGACCCTGAGATCATGACCTGAGCCAAAGGCAGACGCTTCACCCACTGAGTCACCCAGGACCCCCTGTGCTGGAGTACTTTAAAGTGCTTCAGAGACAATATGTTGGTAGACCACCCAGTACCATCACCCCCACCCCCACCCTCACCACCCCTGCCCAGGGAATCTCCATTTTCCAGGTGGGCGTTGCTTCTCCACCTGCCCAGTCATCTGCCAGTGAATCTGTGTGCAGCCATTCAGGTGAATGGAACTGAGGCTGGAGCTGCAAGAGCTCCTTGTTTTGTGGAGTTTACAATCCAGGGAGGAGGAGGGGGACATATTGCAAATGTGACACTTCCAACACTGCCCTTCACTAAATCTCAGGACAAGCAACTGAAGCTACTGATGTGGTCAAAACACTCCCTTGGTCTCCGCGCCCAGGAAGTCCTCTGAGTGCAGTGCAGTCATTGCCCAGGTGGAGGTTGGGGGCGGGGGGGAAGCTGCTCCTGGGGGGTGTGGCATCGGGGACCTCATGTGCAGGAGGGTTGCAGGCTCAGAGAGGGTAGGACACACATTATATGGTCTCATTCATTTGGGGGATATAAAAAATAGTGAAAGGGTATAAAGGGGAAAGGAGAAAAAATGAGTGGGAAATATCAGAAAGGGAGACAGAACATGAGAGACTCCTAACTCTGGGAAATGAACTAGGGGTGGTGGAAGGGGAGGTGGGCGGGGGGTGGGGGTGACTGGGAGACGGGCACTGAGGGGGGCATTTGGTGGGATGAGCACTGGGTATTATTCTATATGTTGGCAAATTGAACACCAATAAAAAATAAATTTACCAAAAAAGAGAGAGAGAGAGAGGGTAAAGGGTTCAGAGCTCAGAAAAGAGGCTTGCACAAGGTTTCCCATTCCAGAAGCCCAGCTCCACCATCCTGTAACCATGTGACCTTCAATGCCTTAAAAATCTCTTTGTGCTTCTCCCTCCTGGAGAACACAAACACACAGTCCCTGTGCCATCAGGTTGTCCTGGGAGTAAACACACAGAAAGCACTTAGGACAATGCCTTGTGCATTGTTGGTGCTCAGTACCCGTTAATGTCATTGTGCTGATTATTGTTATTCATATTGGAAACCCTTCCAAAAAAGGTGTGTTCCTTTCTAGCTCATTTCCCAGCTAACGGCTGGGAAGACAATGCAGGCATTCCTGCAAAATGCCCCCCCTCTCCCCCAAAGCATCACTCACAGGGTGAGGCCAACATCCTCTGTCCCACTCAGAACTCAGGACGGTGTGCAAATGGAGGCCCCCTTTTGTTCCCTGAGGTGTGACTGATCTCTGATGCCATCACACCCCCAGCCCATCTGCCCACAAGGTCCCACCCAGAATATGTTCAGAGGCCCAGCTTTAAAATATCCCACCATGGTGCATATTTATTCATTAAGATCAAAAAGTAAAATCTCCCAGAGCCCAGGGCACTTAAAAGAAGGATGCTGATGTTGTGATTCTCGATAACTAGTACAATAACTATATAGTATAACACAGTTACAAAGTCGAGGGGCAGCATTTAAAGAATTTTTAAAAGACCCTGCCCATAAAAGTTTGTCCACTGCCCATTTAGTCCAGGGTCTATTTACCAAAGCGAGGAGATCTCTGGTCGGGGAGTTCTGGGAAGAGCACAGCTGTGGTGTCAGGTGTACACAGGTGTGAGTCCTAGCTCGGCTCCCCACTAGCTGTGTGGATATGGATAAGTTGCTGAACCTCTCTGAGCCCGGATCCCTCTAAAATGGGGCCAGTAATAATAGCACCTGCACAGTGTGATTGCTGTGAGAAGGTCATGTGAGATACTGAAGATCAGGTGTGTGACACAGGAGCCCAACAATACAGGGTTCCACTCAGCACGGGGCCAACCATTGTTGCCCTACAACACCGCAGAGGGATGTAGATAGGATTGGAAGCCGTATCATCTCCCCTCTGGCTCAGGCCCTGCTCCCCAAGCAAAGAAGAAGTGCCCCAAGTGGCCCACCTCATACAGAAAGGGAAATGGGGGCTTCCCTGTAGAGAAGACAGCGTCCCTCTGGGGAATATAATGTACTCATTTGTTCATTTACTGAACATCCGTACATCTACCATGGACCAGGACGAAGGAGGCCATCATATCATGTACAGATTTCCCCAACAAAGATTTCACAGACCGAGGCGAAGTGAACCGATGTATTCTGCAGGCCAGCACGCTAAGAGAGAGGTGAGAACATGGTACTGTGGCAGCCCACAGAACCTAACTCTGCCAAGGGGGAAGGAGAGAGAGGTGGCCCACAGGAAAGGCTTTCACAAGAAGAGATCCGAGCTGAATCCTGAAGGGTAGACAAGGGCTGCGGTGGCCTGACAAGGAGAAGTGGAATCCTAGGTAGGAGGAACACCATGTGCAAAGGAAAAACCTTGTTTTTCCTTATTGGGCTTGTTTGCTTATCAGCAATGACTCCATCTGGCTGGAGAGGGGAGGTCCCAGGAGTGAGTGGTGAGATATGAAGTTGGTGGGTTGGCAGAGGCACAGCATTGAGGCTCCTGGGAGAAAGGGGCCACTGAGGGCTTTGGGATTGGAAGAGCAGCCTGTTATATATCCCAGAATGGAGAAGGGGTGGGAGTGCCTGTCCAAACAGGGGCCTGGCAAGGAGGCAGATGACATAAGCCACAAGGCAAGTAGTTCAGACATGAGGTTCCGTTGGGAGGCCAGGACCAAGGAGGAGGAGAGTGAGACCCAACTGGAGGTCAGGCCCAAGCTGCCCCAGCAACAGGCAGCCCAACAAAAGCAGAGACCCAGTTCTAGAAATTGGGGCACAAGGAGCCCGGAGAATCTAGTGGCCAAGGGCAAAAGAGATCACCAGCCATCGCAGATTCTCCAATCAGGTTGGCCATCAGGAGACTCAGAACCATATAGAACTTCAGATGTCAGCCGGGAGGGCGTCCTGGATGAGGGGCCTACTTGTACATGGCGTATCTCATTAAGCTCTCAGAACAATCTGCAAAATAGGTATCATCTCCTCCATTACAGGGGAGGATGCTAAGGCTCTGGGAGATGAATGACTTGCTCAACACGGCCCCATAGACCCCAGCGGGGGTGCTATTGCTCACCTCCAGGCCCATGTGACCCCAGGCCCATCAACCTTCCAACAAAGCTCATTGCCATGGCTCATCTTTTTTTTTCTTTAAGAGCTTTATCGAGCTAATAATTTGCATGCCATAAAATCCACCCATTTTCCGTGTATAATTTCATGATTTTAGTAAATTCAGCCTCACTCCAACCCAGCTTTAGAATACTTCTAATAGCAAAACCTGTCCTCAAAGCCATTTTTAGTCTTTCCAGGCACCTTCTCTTGGCCCCAGGCAAAACTGCTGATCTGCCTCTCTCTCTAAAAACTTGCCTTTTCTGGACCTCTCCTAGAAATAGAATCTGGCAGTACGCAGTCCTGTGAGTGGCTTCTCTCTCTCACCGTAACGCTGTCGGAGTCTGTCATTGCAGACTATCAGTGTTCTGCATTCCAACCCACCGCAGATAAGGATTCCAGTTTCTCTGTGTCCTTGCCAATACTTGGTACTTTCTGTCTTGTTTATGACAACCTAACAGGTGTGTAATGCTATGTCATTGTGGGTTTAATCTGCATGTCCGTGTGTTTAATGGCCGTTCGTATATGTCCTCTTCAGTGAAATGTCAGGTAGAGTCTTTTGCCCATTTTAAAAAAAAATTTGTCATTATTATTATGTATCTGCTATGAAGTCTTTGGCTGCTAAGTTCAGTATCTGGGGATACTTGAAGACCATTTCTATTGACTTCTTTTCTCCTGAGTAAGGTCACACTTTCTTGTTTCTTTACATGTCTTGAATTTTTTTCTTGAGTGCTGGACATTTTACAAAATATGGTATAGTTACTCAGGATCCTGAATCTTCCCTCCTGAGGGTTTTTGGTTTTGTGTGTTTCTGTAGTATTTGCTTAGACTGAATCTATAAAACATGTTTCCCCTGCCACTTCTGGCCACTGATGTTTTTTGTTTTTTTTTCCTTATTTTATGCATAAACCTGCTTCCTAGAGGTCACCCTTATGATTGTATTGCTTATTGTTCAGCCACATGTTGCTCGGAAATTGTGTTCAAATACCTTAAGACAATAAAGTTTCTACTCTACACTGATGGATCTGGATGTAGGCTGATGAGTCTGTTCAAACCTCAGGCAGTTCTCAAGTACCACCCAGATTTTTACTTTTCACTCTTCTCTCTTGCTTCTCCATGGACCAGAGAGGTATGTGTAGCTTGCACCTGCTCCAGTCTCTGTGTCCAGATGCAGAGCCTCCCCTCTGCTTGCAGGCAGGGGGCTCAACAGGCCCATAGAGCTGCCACACTTCTTGGGACTCCCTGTTTAACCTCCTGCTACTCCACTAGCCTATATATTATCCCAAACCCAAACACAGACTAGAGGAACCACTGTCCCCCCAACTCCACCCCCTCTGCACACACACACTGCTTGCCACTGGGATCATCACTTCAATAGACAATACTCCAAATCAGGTGAATTTGACTACCCACCAGCAAGGCCGGTTCTGAAGGAAGCAACCTCAGACAAAAATGTCACAGACTCTCTCTGTGCTTCCCCAAAGTTTAGTACTTTTCATGAATGAAAGCTTCTCTGTCATAGATCTTTGGTGGATTACTAGAGCACAGAAATGGTTGGTTTTTGACAATTGCATCCAGCTTCTTAGCTGTTACTGGGGGAAAGATTTGTCAGTGTTTTTTTTCCATCATGAGAGAAGTAAATTCCTTCTAGATTTGGAATAATCCTATACATACAGCCTTGACCTTCCCCACCAAGTCCTGGGCACCCCCACCCCACACCATCATCCAGAATTCCCTCTTCAGACTTTCCTGAGAATGTGTAGACTCCTGCCTATCTTTTAAAGACCTAGATGAAAGGTACCCACCCTCTCCTGATGGTCCCAGGTCATTTACTGGGTCCTTTCCTTCCCTTGCACAGCTCCTTACTGGGAATGTGTACTCTTCCTGACTAGTCACATGGGCCCCACCATCTTTTTACATGTGTATCCCTCCCTCTAAACCGAGTTCCTTGGGGCCAAGGGTTCTCTTCAAGGTGAAGGCAAGATCTTGAGCATCTTGTTCCTCAAATACCTAGGCCAGAGCATGGTTCTCAGGAGGGGTTAAGTGGATGTTTGCAGAAACCCTGCCTGAGCAAATTCATGACCAGTAACACAAATGGCGCCATAACCATTACTTTGCTCATTGTCTCACTGGGGACTGATGTGAAAGGGAAAATAACAGAAATGATTCAGTTGTTGTTTGCTTTGGACAGTATTTGAACATGATCTGTTGGTTGTTAATATTAACTCTGGTTTATCCATGTCACTACCCTCATGGCAATATAAATAAGGCAGGGGCAGATACAAAGAGCTCGTGGCAACAGCAACTCCTCTGGAAGGTAAGTCACCTTTCTCTCTCTTGGGGACAGAGTTGGCTCTACCTGAGTGTGTGTTTCATTGCTCCTTTTTGCCATGTTTCAGGTAGTACCTGCCTTAGGGAAGATGATGGAAAACCCAGTGGGCTAAGCGTGTATGTGCATTTTCTGGGATCTCATCCCTGCACTATTTTCTCCACCCCAAGGAGGGGGCAGGGAAGGAGGGGAATAATAGGAGGTGGGGAAATGGGAGGTAGGGGACATTGCTGGAGAAGACAATGAGGGCGTGGGCCAGGCTGCTCAGAGCCAAGAATCTAGTTGACAGGAACCAAGGTCTACAGGGCTTCTCTGTCACCTGAAGAATTTGTACTCCAGCCCCTTGAGGCTCATGGGGAACCAGGGAGAGGAAATCATGATTTATACTTTAGGGAACCCACCATGGCTGCAAAGTGGCTGGAAGGGTCAGTGGTGAGGAAGACTGAGAACCAGGAGATGTTTTTCAGTCACCTTGGTTGCCATAACAAAATGCCACAGACCAGGGCGAGATCGGGGGTGCTTAGGCAGCAGAAATATGTTGGTTGGGCTGCCAGCAGGGTTGAGTTCTGGTGAGAACCCTCTCCCTGGTTTTCAGATGACCATCTTCTGGCAGTATCCTCACATGACCTCATCTTCACGGGTATACACATGGGTAGGGACAGGGGAGAACCAATGCTCTGGTGTCTCTTCTTGCCTGAGCAGTAATATATGGCCATTTATAAGGGACCATCATGACCTTGTCTGACCCTAATTGCTTCCCCTAGGTTCCCCCTCCAGATACCATTATATTTTGAGGGATATAAACCTTAATCTACAGCAGATGCTATTTCGGTAGCCATGACAAGAGACACCATGATGTTGGATCACCAGACATATGCAGAGAAATGGACTCTGTCCCAGAGTTGTGCCAGGAACTGTAGGAAAACCAGGGAGGGAAGACAGGGCCCTGCCCTAGAGATGGTTGGACTGAACATAAACTCAGGGCATGGTTCACATCTTCTCCCTTCCCATTATGGGGTGCCAGAAATCCCACCATTAGAGCACCCTTCAGATTCCAGGCCTTATTTCTGGTCCCAGTCAGTCATGGGGGGCATATCTGGGGGCAGAGAGAGGTTTTTACCCTGATAATGGGTCAGGGCAGCAGCTGTGAGGACCAGGAGGGCCCACGGGAGGTGGCCAGGATTTCCTGAGATGACCTTTCCAGGCCCTTAGTTCAGCTCATGGCCTAGTTACCTGAACACCACCATCTGGGCTTCCTTTCAGAAATCACACCTGGTAGCCCTGAAGCCAGATCTGGCCTCCATCTGGGCTAGATGATGTTAGCAAGCACATTTGACAAGATTGAGTTGTTCATGCAAAAATCTAGGTTTTCAGCTTCTTCTGAAACCTAAAAAAAAAAAAAAAAATTCTGGCACCACTGAGCCAGCAATCCCCACACAGTAAGCCTGGCTGGAGTTGAGTGGCACCTGCCTGCCTCTGACCTGGGCACACATCTCCCTTTGCCACAGTCCCCAATGCTTCTTACTGCATGATACTTGCTGGTGTTGTCTGGGTGTACTTCTGGCCAAATCTCTTTAGCATTTGAATCTACACTCCTTGATTTATATCTCTCCTTGGTTCTTCTTCTCTTTCCACACTTTTCAGGATGTTGTCATGAGATCTGTATTGAAAGAAAGAAAGAAAGAAAGAAAGAAAGAAAGAAAGAAAGAAAGAAAGAAAGAGGAAAGAAAGAGGAAAGAAAGAAAGAAAGAAGGAAAGAGAAAGAGAGAGGGAGAGAGAGAGAGAAGCCTCAGTGTAGAGCGGTGCTCGAAATCATAGAATGTCATAATGACAAGAGGTGTTAGGACTAGGCTGGGGGAAGCAACTTGCATAAGGACCCACTTGCAGCACAGGCCAGAGGCAGTATTGGACCCCTTGTCATCAGGTCATTCATCTTCAATTTGTCTAAAGTAGTGTTCCAAAATGGTTTAGCCATTTCTCATTAGGCTTAGTTAGCATCCTCCAATCAAGGACTAAGAGTAACCCCAGCACTCAGGTAATAATGGACCCTTTCTCAAGCCCCTAAGCATCGAGAACACGTTTCATAGAACGTTCACTGCCATCCCACCTCTTACTTCTGTTTACAGCTCCCTGGATTGCCGCAGAAATGTCCCACAGGAAAATGCACCTGGCTCTCTCTCTGGCCCTCATCCTCTGTGGCCTTTTTAATAGCATCTTCTGTCAAGTGAAACAAAGATCCAAATGGAGCATTTACCCAGTCTCGTCATGGGAAGTTTCACCTGTCCACCACAAGATCGAAGCTGGCAATAAGGCTTTTGCTCACAAATTGTTCAAAACCCTGTTAATGGAGCATCCCAGAAAGAATATCATCTTCTCCCCTCTGAGTATCTCTGCCTCCTTCGCCATGCTTTCCCTGGGGACCAGATCCACAACGCTCACCAACCTCCTTGAGGGCCTTGGATTTGACCTCAAAGTCATCAAGGTATGGGACGTGCACCATGGCTTCCAGAGCGTCATCCAGATGCTGAAGCAGCTAAATAGGGCAGGCCACCTGATGCATAGGGACATGCTCTTTATTGATAGCAATAGGAAGATCAACTCACCGTTTCTGTGGGACACACAGGCGATGTATGATGTGAGGGCCCGGATGATTGACTTCCGAGATGTAGTAAAGACCAAAAAGCAAATCAATCACTTTGTGGCTGAAAAAACGCACAAGAGAACCAAGGAACTCATCACCTCTCTGAACCCTCATACTTTCTTGTTTCTTGTAGACTACGTTTTCTTCAAAGGTAAGGTTTATCAAGGGCATCAATTTCTGTTTGGTGGTAACATCTGCCCCTTGTGTTTCCTGAAAGGTTTCAGCTAGAAAAAAAATATAGTTTTGGTCATTATATCCCATTTCCCATAAGCTGATAAATTCAAAACTTTTAATTTGCTTTTATTTCATTGTACTACCAAGCATTTTTTAAGTGTTTTTGTTCCCAACCCTTTCAATCATATCATCTGCCAAACTTAAGCTATTTTTGAGTAAAATGGAGTAGCTCTTGATGGGAGAAGGATTCCATGCATGAGTATGTGCGTACCCATGTGGGTTCAGGCTTATGTTTTTCTGATTAAAATTCTCCCTCCTTGAATAAGCTCAACAATTTTAAATGGATTTTTTTTTGTAATAAGACTTCTCAGGACTCTTTTTAAAAAATTATCTTACTTGGCTTAAATTCAATGAATTAACATATAGTGCATCAGTAGTTTCAGTTGCAGAGTTCAGTGATTCATTAGTTGTGTATAGAATTCTTAAACCACTAAAATAGGCAGGAATTTTCAAAGAAGGGGTGTTGTGGTCACTGTTTCCCAAATTATTTGACAACAAAATTTTCTCCTGGTCTTATAGTGGCAGAGGCAGGCAATATTTTGGGAAACATCTCTTGGGTAAATACAGATGTAAAGAAATCCTATGGTAAATATCTTCAAAATCCATGTTTTTGCCTTCCTTTCCTTTGCATCTGTCTGGACTTTTAAATGCTCTGTTCTCTGAGGTTCAGGGATCACTGGAAGGAGGCTGCTCCCTTCTCAAGCCCCTCACCGCTGGGGTCCCCAGTCATGTGGGTGCTGATGCCTTCTCCAATAGGTCATTCTTGGAGATTTTTCCTTCCTGATTCCCCTAGGCACTTGGGAAATGGCTTTTCATAGCAACCTCATGCACAAGGAGGACTTCTTTGTGGATAAGCACACCACAGTGCCGGTGGACATGATATGGAAGACGGGACAAATGATTTACAGCCGATCGGAGGAGCTGTTTGCTACAATGGTTAAAATTCCTTTCATTGGAAACATGTCCATAGTCCTTGCGCTCCCAGACGTGGGACAGCCTGACTCTGCTGTAAAAGAAATGGTTGTTCAGAGAGCTACACTCCTGAAATCCAGTAATATGAGGTATGTTACTCTAGAGGGACATTCTAGATCCACATTGAAATTTTGCTCAGATCTCACTTCCTCTGAGCAGAAGTCTTATTTCAGGGGAATTGAGTATCTGTTATTTCCTAGCATATTTGTGGAAAATGAAATAAACCAAGTGGGAAGAATGGTGGCCTGGCGTCCTTTATCAGCCAGATGCCCCTGAAGCTGTCTAAATGATGGTTCTGGTTACACCAAAAATCTACTTCATACAAGCTCTAGGGGGTGGAAAAAGCAATGTATTGGAAAGATGCACATAAGGGGGTAAACACAGCCAGGTGTCCTGAGGGGTTGGACAGGGGACAGCAAAATCATTAGGAAGTCTATCTCCCTGATACCACTCATCCTTGCTCCTCACCTCTCTGGCTCAGCAAACCACCTTCCACCAATTCAGCTCATGGTGTTTACTCACCCAACACGTATCTTCAGAGCATCTCTCCCATGCCAGTCACCGCTTAGTGCTCGGAATGCAATGGCTAGCCACACATGTCTGCCATTGTGGGATCTTCAGTCTGGTGGGAGAGGCAGTAAGTCAACTAATAAATGTATAAATTCAAATTGCAGTAAAACTATGGAAACAATGAGTAGGGTGATAGAATAGAAGATTCAGAAGTAGAGTATTCATTGGGGATCTTAATTAGGTATGATGATCAGAGAAGGATCCTAAGAGGTGAATTTCAAGCTGAGTCCATTGTGGACAGACATGGCTCTCTTCCACTCAAGCAAATGCTCTACTCCAGACTGAATCTAACACATTTCTGTTCCCTAGAAGGGAGAGTTGGATTGATCCAGCTTAGGTACAGTATTCACCATGGTCCAATCAAATGTGGACAAATCACATAATGAAAGTATGATTTCCAATGGCCCACTGATTTTGGAGGGAGCAGAGGCAGTCTTCAGGCAATAAATGTGAAGTCTGGGGAAAAAAAATCTCCAAATAGTGCTCGCCGCATGCCATGTAGGAGCACAAGCTCCTGCCCATGCAGCATCTTCTGTGGTTGAGGGCCACAGTGGAGCATGTCTGCTAACATCTACCATGGCTGTACTTCACACAATGTCATGATTCGAACAGGGGTTTACACCAATAGAGGAGCCCAACTGAGTGGGTTACAATCCATTCAGAAACTTAATATCACATGGACACAGGTGAAAATGTATTGGTTTGTGAGCAACACAACGTGCTGAGTGGGAGGGATGGCCCTATGCACTAGATCTCCTGAGCCGCATTTCAGATCACTGCTCAATTAAATCCCTGTTTATAACTGGAAGGATGGAGGGACTCAGGGCTGGATCCCCTGGCCTGACCCTCATCTTCTCTTGGATTGGGAAACCTGTGAAGGTCATAGCTTGATTAGTAAGCTGTATTTTAGGCAAGTGATTTGTCTGGAAATGCAAGGTTGGAGCTCATGCTCCAGGACTGTTAACCTCTCCCCATGCAAGCACCCATGCCTCATCTTTCCTTAACTCTCTTTTGGAAGAGGCATGAAAGCATAAGCAAAGTGTTTATGGAGAGATGTATCCAGCTTCCCTGTGGTTTTCACTCCTGACAGATGGGTGCACATAATTATGCCCAAGTTCAAGATCTCCTCCAAGATAGACTTAAAAAAAATTCTTCCCAAGATGGGCATCAGTAATGTGTTTACTACAGGAGCAAACTTCTCAGGCATCACAAAGGAGGATTTCCCAACTATTTTTGAGGTGAGTAGAGCAATTTCTAGAATTTCTGTTTTATCCACAACAGTTCTGAATGAAAAACAATTTAAAAAGATAGAAGTTATAAATCTTGTCCTGGTCCATTGGATTTTGGGGTTCCTGGGTGTTTCAGACACAAGCAATTGCACCAAGCACTTTTAGAGGCTCTGGAGATATAGTTGTGAATGAGCCTAAGTCTTACCCTCATAAAGGTTCCTTCCATTCTCCTGATGAGGTCAGACAACGAACATGCCAACCAATAGATAAATATATACCATGTCAGTCAGTGACATGTCCTGTGAAGGCAGGATAATGGAGAAACTGAAAAGCATGCTGGGGTGCAGTGGGTTGGCTTGGGGTTGGTTGGCCAGGAAAGTCCTCAGGTCGGGTTGGTCTTCAAACAAAGGTCTGAAGACAGAAATAAGAGACCAAGAAAACACATTTAGGGGTTTCATGTTCAAGTGCATCTTGAGGGGGCCATGGGCTTGGCATCCTTGAGATACTCCAAGGAGGCTGACACACTTGAATGGTGCATGTGACCCTGAGAGGTGGCCAGTGAGGTCAGAAAACAGGTAGAGGAGGCTACATGGGTCTGCAGGTCCTGCCAGGCCTGGGGGCTGTTCTGATTGACATGGGAGATCCCCAAGGCTGACGCAAACAGACTTGTGTTTTATAAAAGATGACACTCCACAATGTGGAGGAAGTGTGGCCAGTAACCCAGTTGAGAGGTGAATGTGGTTTGATGGGGCAATGGTGAGGAAGCCCTGTGTGCAGAAAGGCCAGCTCTGTAGATGCTGGAACCAGCCTGAGATAGGAAAGATGGAGAAACAGGGGGTGTAGATGAGCAAGCAGAGACTGGCTCTGTCAACTTGAGATGCCTATGAGACATCCAGATGCCAGGGAACATTTGTGGGCACAGGGAGTATCCTCTGATTAGTCCCCCAAGGTCACAGACTGGCTGGCTGCTCTGTGGCCACCCTGTAACATACTGCCCAAGACATCACTAACAATCATAATCCCTCACCATGGTACAGCACTTGAAATATTACAGAGCAATTTTTCAGCTTTCTCTTACCTGATTCTCCCATTGACCTTGGGGAGGGGACAGGGTCTGTTCTCTGAGGGATGAGTGAGATGTCACTCACAGAGGACATTGGATGGAGTTCTCAAGGCCCAGACCCCTTGGGATGTGGCTCTTCTGGGGCCACAGCTTTCCCTATTGTGTTCAATTCACACAGAATCCTCTGGGCAAGCACATACTGAGTGTGGGGTGTTGGGCTGGCACTGATGGATGGTGTATCCCTCACAGTATGGGAGCAAAGTCACTATGTTCTGGGCAGGGCCTCCTGTAGATCAGAGGGGTAGGCATGGATTTTCTGGCACAAGCATATCCACATGGAGGGAAAATTGTCCACGCTTGGATGGAAATATGAAATACTAGAGCCTTCCCTCTCTCCCTTTGTCTCTACCACATCCTACTCAAAAAGCATTCGAAAAGCCCATCCTCATGATTCAATGGGATCTTTTCCTAAGCCTTCAGACCACCCAGCTTCCCTCTGAGTTCTATTCCTCTTTCTTCTCATTAAACCCCTTAACTCTTTCTGCCTGCACTGGGAGAGACAGAACTCGGCAGTGAGTATGAACCCCTTCTTGAGGTGTCTGGCCTTTGAGGGTGGATCTTGATGGCTGAGAGACTCAGTGGTTCCTCGGGAATGGGAGCCAGTGTTTCCACACCCACCATCAGCCATGGAGGGAGCTGCCTCCCTGCCCTGGGCCCAGTTGGGCCAGCTGGGCACATGGCCCCGGCTTGTTCTCAGGCCAGCCAGGAGAGCTCATGCCCAGAGCTGAGACAAGACTTGTTTCTCCCCAGGCGATGCATGAAGCCACAATGGAGGTGAGCAAGGAAGGCAAGATGGACACCTCCAAGGACATGGACTCAAGGAACACCATCGCCTGTCACACATATACAGCAACCCCTTTGGTTGTAAAATTCAACAGACCTTTCTTCCTGTTTGTGGAGGATTGGATGACTCAAAGAGCAATCCTCATGGGCAAAGTCTTCAACCCCACAGCTGAGTAAAAATGGGGCCGGGCTCCACAGAGTTGGAATTCAGCTGTTCCTGAATAAAGTGAATAAAACTAACTGCTATTGAATCAAAAGAAGCTGAGTCTGAGAAGTGTGGGCTGAGAATGGAGTTGAAATGGGTCATTGCTGGTCTTCTGTCCTGGAACAGGGCAGGATAAAGAGAGGTGGGGGGCCTGCTTTGGACACTTTGGCAGGTGTACCACTGTCCTGAAAATGGATAATATACACAGGGAAGTGATTCTGAAGGATGTCAGCAGGGAGTTAGAGGGTCTCTTTAGTGTAGGGCTGTCTCGTTGGCTTTGCTTCTTGCCCAGCTGGAAGTCAGAGCCTGTGCATTCATCTACTCAATGGAAACCATATGACTCTGCCAGGAAGCCTCAGGCAGGAAGCTGGATGGGCAGAGGCAAGGTCCCTCTCCAAAAAGGAATACCCACAAATGCCTCAATGAATCTCTGTGTGTCCACCCAGCTCCAGGGGAAAATAGGGTACCTAGGAAAGCAAAGACACCAAAATATTTTGGCAGCACCTTCTCTGCCCATACCACTTAGGAGAAAGTTATTATTGCCCCCATGGGATAAGAAGTAGCATGGATGAGGTGGGAGGAGCCAGGAGGATGGTAATGCACAGAATGGTGTGTGCGTGTATATGTGTATGTGTGTGTGTGTGTGTAGGAGAGTCTGGGACTTGGACTGTATCCTAGTTGGCCATACACATATGACCATGGTGTCTGATGGCAGCAGGTAATTTGACAACAGAGGTCAGACCCAGAGGCCATAGGCATAGCTGGCAAAGACATTGACCAAATAAGCTGACCCAAGAATGACACCCACAAGGCTGGACCTCACCTAGGTGGGCTAGTTCAGAGCGGTGACCCAGAGAGGACTAGGCCAAGGATGAGTGTGAAATAGAACTGCTCTAGTAGAGAACCAAGGGGCCATGCTGAAGATGCAAGGCCAGGAATGAGACTGGGTGCCAAGAAGAGGGCACGAGGGGTTGCTAAGCCATGTAAGGCCATGGCCAAGTGGGGGTCACCTGTGTGTATGTGTGTGGGGGCATCTTAGACCCAGGGGAGGAATGAGGGAGGGCAGAGCCAAAAAAAAAATCCACTGCGTGTCCAACAATGGTGGAGTCTATGATAGAACACAAGCGTTTTCTTTTCTGGGGATGATGTGACCCTGGGGGAACTCCATTTGTTACCAGAGAAGTCACCTCAGGCCTTGAACTTTCACCACTTACCACATGAGTTCCAAGATAGGAGAGGCCTGGGAAAAGGCCACAAGAACAGCCTGGAAGTGTAGCTTAGAAAAGACACTCCCCTGAGAGGAGAGCAATGAGGTAGATTGTTCTAGAAAATGCAGAGGAAGTGGTGTCGCAGCACCAGATGGAGGAAGGCCTGCAGATCCCCACTTGTGCAGGTTTCATGTCCAAGCAGATCCGCAGCAAAATCAGAGAGGGTGCACTGACGGCCTCATGTCCCACAGAGTAGATGGCATCCTTGGATGACAGGGGGAGTATAGTGTCCCTCATGCTGAAGGGCACTCATGGATTCCATTCCGTCCTAATGCCCCATATGCTGATGGTAGGGGCCTTGTGTCCCACATGCTAAAGAAGAACGAGTAGTGATCTGTGAAAGTGCTACAAGCTTAGCAAAGGCTAGCTGCCCACATGTCAGAGGACCTCACAGACCACAGTGCCCCAACATGTGGTGCCTTCAGGGGAGGCCAGGACAGGCTTTTTCCTGATGCTCACTATGAGCTGGGGGTGATTGCAAGGAAGAGTAGAAGGTGAGATGAGTTTATCTCATTAGAAGTGTGTAAAAACACACTTTTATGTTGACGCTGAGATGGCATGTACAGGTGTGATGTCTGTGCACCAGGGTCAAAGATTTCACCCCAGGAAGAAAGCTAAGTGTCCCCTAAGAGATGGTGCTCAGTCCTCTTTCCCACCTGGATGTACCATGCATATGATTGGCTAATTTTACGTCAACTCGACTAGGCCATAGTAGCCACATATGTGGTCAAACATTATTCTGGATGTTTCTGTGAAGATGTTTTTGGAGAATATTAGCATTTAAATTGTTGGACTTCTGGTAGAGCAGAACGTTCTTGATGCTGTGGGTGGGCCTTATCCAATCAGGTGAAGGTTCACTGGCCAACCTGCCCCAGGCTAGAGGGAATTCCACCAGCAGATGGCCCTAGTGCTTGAACTACAACATGTGCTCTTCCTGACCTCCAGCCTGATGGACTTACTATGTGGATTTTGAACTTGCCATCTTCCATAATCACATGAAACAATTCCTTAAAATCTCCCTCTCTTTCTCTCTCCCTCTGCTTCTCCCTCTTGTTCTCACTCCTACTTTCTGTGGGCCAGGAATTGCAGAGACAGCTGCGCACATACAATAACATTTGCTTCCCACCACAGATGCATGAGGTGGGCTCTATTGTGCCAGTGTGTGGCATCGAACCCAAAATGTGAGACTCCCAGAGTTGGATCTTCTTCTGCATGTGATAAGTTACTGTAAAGAGCTGAGTAATTTATGTGCAAGCCAAGAGTGAAGTGGATTCCTATTTGGTGAGAAAAAACTCTGGCCATATATTTCAATTATCTTGTTTATTAGTAGTGCAAATGGATCCTTAGAAAACACCCAGAAAGGGACGCCTGGGTGGCTCAGTGGTTGAGCGTCGGCCTTTGGTTCAGGGTGTGACCCCAGGATCTGGGATCAAGTCCCACATCGGGCTCCCTGCATACAGCCTGCTTCTCCCTCTGCCTATGTCTCTGCCTCTCTCTCTGTATCTTTCATGAATAAATAAATTAAATATTTTTTAAAAAATAATAATTCTACTTTCTAACAACATTTGACTGTTTTCTCATATAAATAATATACATGCTCTTTGTGAGAAATTAGGAGAGTACAAAAATCTACAAAGGAGAAAACAGAAGTCACCCCGAGGTGACTTGCCATCACCAAAATTTATCTCATAAGAAACAGTCCATCAGTTCCAGCCTTCATTCTAGATCCTGGGTGATTCATGGTGAACAAGAGTCAATGATCCATTTTATGGGGATTCAAAACAGCAGGAGAGAAGATTTTGTTCCATGTTCTAATTTCCTTCAGTCTTCTTTTTTTCTATATGTGGATGATATTTATTTAAAGTATCAGTAAAGGGACACCTGGGTGGCTCAGCAGTTGAGCATCTGCCTTTGGCTCAGGTCATGATCCCGAGGTTCTGGGATCGAGTCCCACATCGGGTTCCCTGCAGGGAACCTGCTTCTCCCTCTGCCTCTGTCTCTGCCTCTCTCTGTGTGTGTCTCTCATAAATAAATAAAATCTTTTTAGAAGAATAAAGTATCAGTAAAATATGGGAATGGTAAGAATCAGTAAAACATTGGAGCCTCACCACCAACTTCTCGAGCAGGTAATTGAACCTCACTGAGCCTGTGTCCTGTCTACAAGGTGGGGATGACTGTGTCTCACTCACATTCTTTCTCCATCCAGTTTTATTGAGAAATAACTGACACATGTCCCTGTATGCATTCAAGGTGAACAGGAAGGCGGTTTGGTTCACACATATTGTGATAGGATGATCATGACGGGCTGGGTCAGCATCTCCCGGTCTTATCGTTAAGGTGATCTGGAAAGAACACTGTCTGGGTCACAGGAAACATCAGTGATGGCTCGGAAGCAGCCAACATCGTGACTTCTGTTGTTGTCACCAGCACTGGAATATCCTCAGATGGAGTTGGGTCCAGAATCACAATCCACTCAGCTTGTAGGATGGGCAGACAGGACAGATCCTTCCAAATAAAATAGGTCCCTTCCTGTTTGCGGCACACTGCTTTCGGCCGGTTCCAGGAACTGACCTGGCAAATATTGACGGGCCGCCCTGGTCTACAAACACCATTTCCTGTGGGTAGGAGGCCACGCAGTGCTGAAGACCCGGGGTCCCCAATCCGGGGAGCTCACTGTGAGTACCATACCTATGTCCCAGGTGGAGGTGGGGGTGGCTGCGTCTCTTCTCTCTCTCTCTCCCTCTCTCTCTCTCCCTCTCTCTTTCTCTCTCTCTCTCCCTCCCTCTCTCCCTTTCACTTTCTCTCTGTCCCTACTCCCCCTTTATCTCTCTGTCTCTCTCTCTCTGTCTCTTTCCCTCCTTCTCTCTAGCTTTCTCTCCTCTCTCTCTCTCTCTCTCTCTCTCTCTCTCTCTCTCTCCCCCTCTCTCTCTGGTTTTGGCAGCAGGGATGGGACAACTGGGTCCCCAAAGGAGAAATGCAATGATTTACAGCTTCTAAGGCTTTAGGTAGGAACTTCAGGTTTTACACAGGTTTATGAAAAACTTGGCCATCAAAAAAGTTGAGAGAGGAACTCCCAGGACTCCTAGTGATTAGACACTAGTATCACCCAAAGCAAAATGATGACGCTGCTATAGCAAATTTACTAGAGACTCATAGCAAAAGGTTCACACTCCAGAGCCCTTGTCTAGAATCTGAATCATGCTCCTGCCACTTAACAGGTACTTATCCTGATCCTGAGCTGTTTCTCCATATGCACCGCAAGGGTACTAATACCCGTGTCTTAAGGTTCTCACAGGGATTCAATTAAGTGACATGAATCAATTATCAACAAAGTCACTGCTGGCATTTGCACAATACCATTCTTCAGGGCATGTGACTGCTCCGGCATTTCAAGAGCTTTCTCTCTCCCACCAAACGTCTCCAGTCTCTGAGATGATCCTAAATACCACCCACTCCCCACCCCACCCTGCATTTGAGAACACATCTGGTTGGGAGCCTGTGATACAATGGACCTACTATCCCCACACAAGATAAACAATAGATGGGAATATTACCATGAATTAATGGAGTTTTCAGTTTCCCCCAGGATCTTTCTGGAAAAGAAATAAAGAAATAAATTGGATGTAATTACACCAGACCTCTGTAGAAAAGGGTGAAAATTAACGTTGCATGCTTTCTGTGTGTCAGGTGCTGCACACACCACATGCCCTGTAATCCTTTAGTGCCCCCCACCCTTGGAAGGTA